TTAACGATGACGGAGGTTCTCCGGAGGTCTACGCCCGAAGATTTGCGAAGATCTTCGCCAAAAAAATTTCCTGATGTTATCACCAAATATTGTAATATTAAATCCTTACAATCCACCCAATTGTAATAACAATGTCTATGCAGCATGTGAAATGTATCATGATAATTTACCAGCTGATAGTTAAGGATCTGAATAATTCTATTTAGAATCAAATTTAAATGATTCGATTCGATTCTTTTATTTAAAAAATTAAATTTAAACAATAAAATTTTGATTCGATTCAATTCGATTCAATTTTTAAATTAAAAAAATTAAATTTAAACGATTCAATTTCGATTCGATTCAATTCAATTCTAATTTAAAATAAAATTGTTAAAAACTTGATTTAAATCAGATTCAATCAATTTATGATTTTTATATTGTTACACTTGATCTTTGCTCAATATTTTATCTATTTTTGTGACAATCCACTAGCATTTAACCCTGAAATATCCTCTTCTTGTTTTAGAATTTCTATACTATTGATCTACTGTAATACTTTCGCCTACTTTGTCTATTTAGCTATCTCTTCCTATTTTGAAATATTCTTTAATTTTATTTACTATTATCACTTTGTTATCTTTATCAGAGTATTCATCTCTACCAATGTTAGTATATTTGACTATTTTGATAAAGATATCATCTCTTCTATAACTATTATCTTTACCAACATATACTACTATCATATATGCCATTCATATATTAAAAATATATATATAAACGTCTCCAATTCCTCCTGAAATTGCAAGATTGAACTTTCCTTTTTATTAATAAAATAACTTGACCTTTATAAACAAATTACCATTACCTCTTTTGCTTGATCTCATATACCTCAGAACTGTACTAATTTTAGTACACCCTTATAAACTTTAGCATACCATATTGGTCCATCTATACAAAGTGTCTCCCTGCTATTAGTTTTTTGTCTATAACTTTCTCCTGAGATAGAACGATATATGACAAATTGGTGGTAACTGTGAGATGCACCTTATCCATTAGACGCAAATTTAACAATCAGGTCCCAAAAATGGAATGCTCTTTGATTGCCATCCCTGAGAAATTGCCTTGAAGAAATTCGATCTTCAAAAAGTGACAAAAGCAACATTGTGTTCGTGACGATCAGAGAAACAAAAACCAATTCTGCTCCAATAACAATGCCTATGAAGAATTCAGCTGCTGGTATATGCTGAATAGATGAAGAAGCATCATCCCGACCTAAAAAAAGTCCAAATCCAACAATAGAAGCTCCGGAATGGCTAGTGTTACAAATCGTTAATTGAAAAGTTTGGAATTAACCAATCAAAGTATAGGGATTTTTAGTTGCAACTAGTTGATTATAATTAAAACAACTAATCGATTGGAAAAATTTTAATCAACTAAGATCACTAGGAATGGCTTGTGCAGAAGAAAAGCGAAGCCTAAAGAATGACGATCATGGAATCGGCGGTATATGTGCCTTCCTCCTAAAAAATTAAATTATAAAAAAAATGAATTAACGACACTATAACGATGAGAATTCGCCATCCCTGTTCAAAGAAGAAACAAAGAACAAGAGAAACCTACCCTAATCCATGACAAGCCATGATAGTTAATTGATAATTAACAATGTATGATATAGAATATGACACAATGAATGATGAAACTGGTCCTTTACCTTCTCATGACAAGATATCCAAGAAGACTAGTGATATATACAAGCCAGAGATGGGTAGACAAGTCAAAATAGAAGACAAAGTAAGGAAAGCTACACAGATTTAAAGGCAAAGTAGGAAAGAATTCGTGGTTGTGGATAAAACTCTACAACCAGGTCTCCAACCACAATAACTGAATAGACAATAAAAAAATAAAATAAATAAATAAATAAATAAAAAAGAAAAAAATCGTTTTACTTGTGATCAATTCATCAACAGCATTGCAAGTTCTTCAAAGATCTCACCTTCCTTAAAAATCAGGCTTCTGGCAAAATCTTTACAAACGAACGTTATGAAAAAACAACCGGCTGGCAAAGAAACTAAGAAACCTGAAGCCTGGTATAGATGCTTCTCTTGAAGAGCCAAAATCTAAGTTCCTTTGAAATGCTATATAAAATAACTGCATACGTATACAAAAAAAAAGTGCTTATCTGGAGCGAGTCGTCGGTCCGAGGGTCATGCCAGGGTGTCGACAATTATGAAAAAGTTACGACGCCGAAAGAAGCTACAGACGAGTACTTAAAGAAAAGAGGACTATCTGTAAAGAAAAGAATGGTGAAAAACCAGAAGGAAAAGAACCAAAACTTATCGACGAGATTCCAGTAGCCAAGCCAGGGACGTTGATATTGCCGAGGATCAGGGAGAACCCATGGATGGCAAATCAGATGTCGAAAGCATGGGCTAGAAAAAGATTGGTAAGAAAAAGTTAGAAGCCAATGGTAAAATACCACAAAATGAAGAAAACGCTACAAATGTCATGACTTACTAGAATTGTACCAAGATGAGAAAATGTGAACACCGAAATGCCATTATGATTATGATCATAATCACAAAGAAAAAAAAAAGAAGTTTATTTATCTTACGAAGTCAACAACCGATAATGCACGATATATATACGATATATGTACTGAGATAAGAGATACTAGCCCTGATGATTGAAAACACCGGGATGTTGTCATAATCATAATCACAATCACGATTGCATCCCCCCCCTCCCGAGAAATCACGACACAATGGCATAACCTATCTCTTATATACAAAAAAAAAACAAAAACAAAAACAAAAATGGCGAACTCAAATGGAGCTACAGAAACTGTGTCAACCATAATACTATCATCTTCGGCATCTTCATCTTTATCTTCAAAACTTACTTAGCAAATGCTAAAATCCAATGGTCATCCAAAGGATGCACTAGACGCCTACAAAAAGCAATTGATGAATTTAAAGCTCAGGGGTCCTACCTATTTCATGATGTAAAAAGATACTTAGTCAAAGCTTACTTCAAATGTGGTGATGTCTATAAGGATATAGGAGAAATGAATAATGCAGATGCTTACTATAAAGAAGCTCAAAAATATGAATCGAAGTATCGTGAAGCATTGATCAAACATGAAATATCAACATATCCCTTGCAGACAAAAAAAAAAAAAAACATACTTATCAAACAAAATCCTCCAAGAAGTACCAACGACGAACATACCTCCAAGACCAAGACGTACTACGGATGCTGTGAACCATACCATGATAATGATGACGTGATCAGGAAGGAGGATATAATGCCACACGAAAGATATGACCATGTGTTGTGAATACAATCAGATGGCATCAAAAGGTCATCAGATGGAAAAACAGAGAAAACGAATACCTATATAACAAAGAAAGTTAGAATCCAGACGCCATCAATAACTTATCACTGATTGCATTAAAAACTATACAAAGACTTTGACAAACCCGCGATCCTTACTGATCATCATGAGTGGTCGCATAATAATGTACCTCTATAAAGAAAAAGAGATGTGATTAACATACACCTCGACACCATAAAACTCTCATTAGCATTTACCTACCTTGATAGTATACATGTACCTACATCTTGCTCCATCATGATTAAACCATGCCACACCATCAAGATCCTATAAAACAAAGACAAGTGAAGTTAATGATTACCTTTATTCTTTATCATTCCTTTGATTATCCCTTATACTCTATTAGCATTAGTAACACACATATCATTTTACTTCTTTATTTTTAAAACTTGAAAAAATATTATTATTTGCTTGAGTAATTTCATAAAGCCATTATATAGCAATAGATAATCTTGATTTTTATAGCATTTTATGAAATTATCAAAGTGATTAATATTATTCTTTCAATTTATTTTGCACAAATAATATACTTATTTT